CTTTATGAACTAGTCGATTTCATTGCAGATGTTAACACGTTTTGGACCGGTACTGCGCCTGGTGCAGCATGCTGCTCTAAAGGATCTTCTTGACGTTCACAGGAGGTTTTTTTAGTCCAAGGTTATCAATTCAAAGACCTAAGCTCCTACCTTTCAAATGCTGAAGAGCTGTCCGCCGATATTAGTTAAGGAGATATGAGGATAAATCGAACAACACTTGCAACGAAGTGCGGCAACGCGAACGACGCGTGCGACATCGCAACTTTTCTTTGCTTCGCTTTCGAAAAAAAACCCTAGTTTCAATAATGATGTGTACCGTGTACAGCATAGACAGGTTTAGAATACAGTTAGAAACTGAGTTCTTGTTACTCTATTTCAAAAAAGTACGGAAGTTCCTCTTAAGGTCTCTTAAGCAACAAGATTCATATACTTCGAATTCACTCGGAACTTTGGGTACGGAGCTTAGCAGACATGCTGAATACATATGTGCTCAAAGTCTACGAAATAAGGTCCCTTTGTTGCCTAACGGGTGTATCTACTCTCTTTTTTGCCGCGCGCGATTTCGAGGTCCGAAACTTGTTAACTAGCGCCAGTAGAAGAACGTTAAAAAAATACTGCAGTGAGTGTAAATCCATGTTCCTTCCTCGTTTGATGTAATGTTTTCTGAAAGCATACGGCAGCAGATTCTGTTCGGAATTTCTTAAATAAATGCCCTTCAGACGATTTAGCGCAAATTTTTCCAAAAGTGCGTATAGTGCGGTGTGATGCGTGAGCGTCAACGAAATCGCTTTAGGTATGTCGGGTAATCAAGCGATGAGCGATATCCACGCAACGAACCGTCGCCCAGGCAGTCTAGTCGCAGCGATCAAAAATCGTAACGATGGGATCGCCGAAGGTATGCCTTAGGCCTTAGGTCACACCGCAACGCAGCCCACCCGCTGTCTTTGACGCATTGGTAGCAACGTTTGCATTATACTTGGGTAATTCGAAAATTTTTCATCGAATGGATGAATATCGAATGAATTCGGAAAGGAAGAATTTCGAATAAACGAATATCGAATAAATTCGAAAATAAAAAATCTCGAATAAACTAATAATCGAATAAATTCGAGGTTCAAAAATTCTCGAATGAATGAATTCCGAATAAATTTGGAAATTCAAAAGTATCGAATGAATGAATATCGATTATATTCGAACATTGGGAGCCGAATTTCGAATAAATATTCGAATGATTTGTCGAATAACTGAGCAACCATATCTCAAACTGGCTGACATATCTGGCTGAAGCCGATCCATTCATAATGAGCACACTCAGATCCCCTATACCAACTCCTAGCTCAAGATCTCCAAGAATCGATAAATTCGATAAAATAAATTTCTATCCATAATCAGCACCCTCACTAACCCCCTTGTACCAAAAATGAGCAAAAAGCAATTTCAAAAATGAGCACCTGACCATTATTCTAAAGAGAGATAAATTGCACAGGATTTTTGTATAGAAAACTCGGTCATTCGAAATATCAGAGATCTAGTTGATCAGTTGTAAATGCCTGGTCATCTTGAAGTGATTCAGCATCAGGAGTTGAACAACTGAGTGACCAAGTGGTGGGTACTTCTCCGTTATCCGGACCCATTTTTTCAAAAGGCTCTCATGAAATACGTTCTTTAGCCTAAGAACAATTTTCATTGATTCTACGAAGACTGCCTCCCCACCACGTGTCAGGAAAAAATTAACACGTTTTAGTCCATTTTGACTTGTTTTTTCGAAATCATTTCCGGCAAGGTAAAGGAGCATTTGTGACCACTTAAAAGCCTTTCAACTGTTTATAAGAGCAAAACTATCTAGAACTTATCCTATCTTCATCTTGATTGCTTTCAGCAGTAATTCAAAATCATCTATTTCTTCAAACTTTCCGCCATGCGAATTTAGTCACGAGAGACTAAAAATGATGGCTTGCAGTATTATCTCGTTGCTGCTTGTTTCGCCGCCTGGATAATGGAATCCTAGCGCAATTCTTCATTCTGAGCAGGTCTAATCATCTAATGATAACAGGATGAAGTTATTGTTATGACAGTGTTCATTTCTGAAATTGTTTAGTTGAAAATAGGGTCATTATGGACTAAAATACAGATTGAACTTTTTGTTAGGTAGTGCAGAACAAACCCCTGGTAAAACCTGTTAAACAGGTACATGACATGTAAAAATTTTCTGACATGTGGCAAAAGGTTGACACTCCTTCCTGTGAATATGGGACCAAATATGGTACAAGGTCAAGAAAAATATCCTTTTTTGAAAAAATGGGTCCGGATAACGGAAACGTACCCTTTCTTATTTTCGTCTGCCATCATATGTGTTCAATGAGTTTTTTATATGGACTACTTTAATGATCAATAAGATCTTAATTATCAAAAACCAATTTTTGAGTGTAGCATCTCCTACAGTCAATGTACTTGGAATACCAAGATTTGGTTGCATGTGTGATTGAATAGCTGGCTAAGAGTTTCAAACACGACACTAAATTTGCAAGTTATTTCAATTTGCTGTAATTCTTAGTTGAACGTAGAACTTGGGTGTAATTGACTTATCTGTTATATAGTGTAATGGAAGACTCATAACTTCTGCTTGATTTATATTACTATAATATGCTTCACAAACTTACTCAAGCGCGAGCACTTACAAAATTTTGGGAAAGCGTCATTCTATCCGAAGAGTAAAACGTAACTCGAAATGCCTGAAACTCAGTTGCAGTCATTTACGCATCCTAAACCCTTAATGAAAAATTTTTTTGTTCCTCAATTTCAGTGCTATTATCTTCAAAACAATACACGCGTTACAGTGCATGCACACAATTCATAATGAGGGGATCTAGAGGGAGGAGTGATGGGCGGAGCCGCCCTTTGGCCCAGAGAAGGTATGATGTCCTTCAAGGGATTTTTGGAGGTGCCAAGTACCCCTGCGAGGAAAAGCGGCTAGGCTTTGGGAACTCCTGCCACGCCGCCGGGAATAGAGACAGTTGTGCAATATAACTTATGCGAGCAAGAGTGCTCACAAGGTGGGCTTTGCGTACCACAAGCATGAGCAATCCAAAGAAAGAAAAACAGGCATTTCAAAACACTTTCAATATATGAACTCGGAACATGAGCTTGAATCTGATAGCTTCTTTGCTGATTTGGTGCTAATAGCAGTGCTAACATTTTTTATTGTCAAGCAGTCGGAAGAATGCGACCCTCCATACAGTTCAAAGGTCATAACGGTTGCAAAAGCTGCATTACCGAGTTTTGCAAAAAAAAACGCTGACGAAGTGAGCTTGATACTCAGCAGTTGGCTCTGCAATAAAGTCGAATAATTTGAATACGGAGTTCATTCGATTACGAATTCGAATAAACATTCGAATAAAACTTTCGAATAAAATCTATTCGAAACCCTGTTTTTTACTTATTCGAGTTTTCGAATTTTATTCGGAACCTCGTTTTTTGATTATTCGAGTTTTCGAATTTTATTCGGAACCCTGTTTTTTGATTATTCAAGTTTCGAATTTTATTCGAAACCCCGTCTACTCAATTATTCGAGTTTCAAATATTATTCGAAAATGGAAGAACTCCGAATATCGAATTTCGAATACGAATATATTCGAATGTTTTATTCGAATGATCGAATTTCTATTCGATTCGGACCCAAGTATAGTTTGCATGCTTGAAAGACGAGTCAAAGAAGACGCCGAGGCGCGGGAGGCTTGCGAAACTTATTTGCCAAATTCTGGTAGGTTTTCTACTAACGGGTGCTTTCAATTTCCTGCAGAAGCAGGCAGCAGACCTCTAGTTCCTCCTGCACAGCATCCCCCACAAAGCCTTAACCCTCATTGTAACAATCAGCATCTCTGAAGATCTATTACGAAAAACTCCATCTTTCAAGGAGTTTTGAAAATCGCAGTTGCAGGTTGGATAACGAGAACGCCCCGATGCACCGTCATCATTTTTCTATTGAAAGATCTATTGTCAGCTGGATTATTTGGATATTCTGAGAAAAAATCGGGTTTCGACATAAAAACTCCTTCAAATTCAACTGTAATCCTACATTATTGAAGAGCGTCCGATGGCTCGTTTTAATTGTGAACCAAAGTTGAAGCCAACTCTAAGGAACAAAGCTGAAGGCCAGCGAAAAACGTTTAAGCAGTAAGTGAACCATTCAGAGCACGTCCTTTTGAGATACTATGAAACATAATCTTGCACTTGTGTCTCTGGTGCCTTGCCTGAATTGAGTGAATCTACTCAAACAGCAGCAATATTTAGAGAAGGCAATCCTTCATAAAAGTCAAAACCCCTTTCTTGAAATCAACGTCCGAAAATGTTCGTCTTCATAACTGAATTCCTCTTTTCTCTGCTGCTCTTCTTTGACTTCTACTACGTTGTTTTGTCACATAAGTTGCTATGCAACAGAGATAAGATAAGCACAGCGCTCACGTCATTCTAGATAGCCGCATTCATCACGATGATGCATGCCCCAGAATACGTATCTGCGGACTTGGAAATCTCTAAATACAGCATATTGAGTGGTTTAACACGGTAACCAAACTGTAAGAAAGGAAACGCTTGTGGCTTCTCATTTACTCGCTTACCAACTAACGGGATGAAATGGTTTTCTATCTCATAGAGTTTGTTTCCTCATATGTGGTTGATAAGACCTTAACCAACTCAAAACCACTTTTGAGTCAGCAATGCCTCAAAAACTACTGAGGTTATGTCAATGTTCAAATGCAGTGTTTTCGGGCCAAGCAATACTGCTAAAATCCATCAAGTCATTTTGTTACCTAGGTATGTTTACCTGAATGACCTTAGTTACTGTAAGGAATTATCAAAAGAAAACAGAAAACTTTCGGATAGGAAAAAAGTTAAATGATAATTGAATGCAAAAGGACACAAACTGACATCAGTTTTGGTCATATCAGCAAACGTCATGGCGGTCTCTTAAATTTCGCACGCCTCCCACTCCAGCCGCAAACATTATGACAAATTTATTTGAGTTACTGAGTACAAACAAGAGGAATTTCGATTTGACCACAGCGTGATTCACTGGTTAATTGGTTCATATAACATGTCATATATAGATCAGTCATTTCCTATCAAGGCTAGAGTCTACGTACTATCACTACTCATAATCACGTGTAACGAGAGTAAGGACAATCTGGTACAAGTACAAAGACTACAAGAGCAATCTCACATCAAAACTACCGGAAATGTCTCATATAACGAGCTTCAAATCATTGCATAAAAATGGATGAGTTAAACAACACACGGAAAAACCGGGAAAGAGGGAAACAGCTTTAAAAAAGGTAACACATGAGCGCCTTACGTTACTTTTACTAGGTAAGAAAAAGAACCGAGTTTCCGTAAATACATCTTTCGGAAGTGAGTGCCACCGAAAAGGAGCGCGAATCAATGGTAAGCAGAAGAGATCAACAACATAATAATTAACACAGGGCTACAAAAAGGAAAAAAAACTTCAGTAACAACGTACAACATCGTAACAACAGCATCAGCGTCTATTTCCAATCGTCACCTAACCAATACCTATGATGACCCCTAGCTGTGAATGCTGAGAGATGGGACTGAGACGTCATCAAATGTACTAGCTCATAAACACATGATCCTGAAAGGGAGAGAGAGGAGAGTAGAAAGTAAGGGCTGCAAGACATGAGATTAGTGGGAAATCACAAGAGAAAAGAGGACTCCTGCTTGATCGCTGGCGTGGGCGCTGATGTTGACATCGGAGGTGAACTGCTGTCGGACGTGGCCGCTACCTGGCTCTTCATCTGGCTGAGCAACAGCAGAGGATTCAGGCCTAGTAACTGGGACGGAAAATTCCCTTGTGCTAACTCTGCCAGCTGCTGTTGGAGTGAATTTAGTAGACCTGCAAGAAGTGATCTGAGTGGTGGGTGATAGAAGCCTATAGATAGAGTTCATACAAAAACAGTGGCGGGTATTTAATGCTTATAAATTATGGTACTAATAACTTACATATGAACATGAACTACCTATGATGAACACTGGCGAAAAAGAGGATACAATTCTCCCAAAGTGGTCAATGCCAACATGCATCTACTAGATGCGCCTTCAAATGATGTTTATGGGTAAGCCACCCCGCAGCAGGTACATTGGAACAATCATAACCAGTGAGCGTGGGGTTAGGCGTGCACGACCTGGGGGTCGTATTGGGGGTAAAACTGACGTATTTACTCAGACAGTCGAAGGGATACCTCCGGCGGGCAAATGGCGCGAGTCTGCCACTTCGCGCTCTGGAGCGCTCCGGAGCCCTGTCATTTCGCCCATTTTGGTGCTCCAGGGCTCCCAAATCTGGCGCGCCGGAGCAAAGATTTGCGCGTCCCGGAGAGGGGTCCCATTCATTCACCGTGACGTCACCATGACTCACGGTGACATCACAAGCAGGCGGACCCCTCTCCGGGACGCGCAAATCTCTGCTCCGGAGGTGCGCCAGATTTGGGAGCCGCGGAGCACCAAAATGGGTGAAATGGCAGGGCTCCGGAGCGCTTCAGAGCGCGAAGTGGCAGACTCGCGCCATTTGCCCGCCGGAGGTATCATCCCTTCGACTGTCTGAGTAAGAGTCGAATTAGTTCAATTGGGGAAACTACGAATACGGTGAAGAAGAAAAGCCGGTGGATAGTCCGGTGAACATCGCAGCCTCACCAGTACTGAAGGAATGACGGTGGTAAAAAGATTACTAATTGATCACAAGTGAAGTTTCAGCCAAAATTAAAATCTTCATCTTTTACTAACATATCATCATAAGGTCACCGAGGAAGCTGCTGTGTGGAATTGGTATCACTTCAGTAACCAGCATGTCAAATTACCTCTATGAGCTCTACAAAACGTTGCCGACTGCATTTTCTAGTGTCTCAACGTCTAAAAGCTTGATTTTCAAACATGATCAACTTGGTATCAAGAGTGAAAAAAGCCAGCTTGTTTATACTCATAACAAAGTAACGTTCTCTACAAGTCTATGCGAGAAATCATGCTTCATATCGCTCTTAAATAACGGAGTAAGATGTACTGCAAAAATTCCAACCGGGCCTTTTTCACCTTGAATGCTTCAACTCCACGGATTACCACAAGGCCGTAACAAATCGTAACCAAGTTCAAACACTTACTGTGGAGTCTTCGAGGGTTGTGCTAGCGAATCACATAAAAGTTGGGTGAAAAAGCTCTTTCGGAAATGTAGTTAATGGGGTCAGGCGCAACCCATCAAAAGGTCAGGCTGCCTGAGCTTTTGTAGTCTTGCGCCTGACCCCCTTAATTTGCCTTCAATATTCAAAAATCGCTACTTTTCTAGTATGAATACTGAGCTCAAAGCCACTTCTTGCTATATTGAAAATTTGGAGCCAAACACACCACCACCGCCCAATGTGTGTGGAAAATTATAGCTCCGGGCTATCCCAGCCCAAAATTTACCGTTAAGTTGTGTGTCGTGCAATCGCAGAGAGTGCCTACAGATTCGAAAAAACCAGAACCCTCCAGTGAAGGCTGATCTTCGACATCTCACAGTCTGAGGTCCTAAAGGTGAAGCGAATGGGTCGTTTAGGGGCTTTCACAGGAGAGGGAGGGGGGGGGGGGGAGGGGAAGTCGTTATTGAAGGACTTGTGCCTGACCTCTTCCTTAACTCAGATTAACTTCAAGAGAAAACTGTTTGGAAGAAACAGTTTCATGCGTCTCATGTTATGAGACGCACGCGTTTTTATATAAAATTCTTATGAAAGAATCAAAGAACTGCCAAGCTAAAATTACACGTTTCCCCCAAACAAAATTTCAGAATCTAAGTGTAACACGAACGACCAAGTTTCTTTCGATTCAGAATTGAGACGTCTTCTTTCCAAAAAAAAATTTCACCATCAGATTAGTCCTCCTCACAAGACAGCAGACAAAATCTCAACAAATTGTATATCCATGGACGACTTCCTCGTGGGGCACAAAAACCAGATAGAAATTTAGAAATTCTCATCCTGAACGTAAAGGCGTCGTTATCAGGCTGGTCCATCATACAGCGTCCATCAAAAAATAATTTACGTCTAATTGTGGAAGGCTTGATTTACCATCTGATGTAGCATGTTGTACAAAGTACCTACAAACACATACACAGATCTGTTTCAGGTTAAATTTAAGTATTGCACAAATCGAGTTCTCTCAAAAGGTTATACGAACTTCCCACTTTTCAAAATTATTGAACACAAACACTTGCCGCCGTACTTCTCGTACTGGATAACTTATATCTATTCATGCCTTAGAAACCCACTAGACTGGTTCTTTCCTTCTATAACAGTAAGACTCCATCAGTTTCTTTTTCGGGGCTCCCTGCCACAATGCTCGCTGCTCAAAGAGTGTAAGTGTGATTCAGATGTCTGTCAACAGAGAGAGGAAAAAACGAGATAAAACCAAAGTTCACAGCCCGCAAATGCGTCGACTGTTGATGCATGTTTGTTTGCGAATGTGTGGCGATGGCTCTAGCGCACAGATTTCGCTTGAAACTCCACACATGTCAAGCCAGGCTTTACAGATAGTATACATATTAAATTACGAAATCCATGCGTTGACCGCTTTTTAGTGAGCTTTTTCTTATTGTTCGATCGTTCAATTACTTCTCAATGGCAAACTAATAGATTTGAGAATTTCTGCTACGAGCTATCGTTTGACCTCTGACCTCGCAAGAAAACCGTTTATACCGTAACCTTACTGTACGCGTTTCTTGCGAGATAGAGTAGCAACTTAGCAAGACAGTAAGTCTACTCACCGTGTTGATAGAGATACGCGCTTAGGAGGGATTGACCGTAGGCTTTATAACCGTCGCCTAGAATGTTCTCCATTCCACCGTAACTAGCCGTTGGCTTCGGTAGATCAGACGGCGGACTGATGGATGATTGAGATGGGCTCGGAGATGTTTCGCCACTTCCCGAACACGCGGTATCTTCTCGCGTTGCCGGAGTTTCTCGAGCAGCAGCTTCGCTTGTTTTTTGTCGATTTCCGCCACGATTCGGAGCTCGGTTGCGTCTGCGTAGTGTTTGTTTATCGCTAAGTTCCGGCACTACCGTCCAGAAATGTCCTGAAAAAAAAAATATCATGTGATCGTACTGATAAGAAGACTTTACGACAACAAACTGAAATACCAGTATCTCAAAAGTTTAATCGAGCATTTATTTAAAAGCCGAGAAGGTTTTTTCCCAATGCGACGCTCAAATCTTATTCTAACCAATGTTGATAAGCAGATCCCTAAGCAAAGAAGTCGTCGCATGCTCTGCCCCTTGAACTATCAGATTTTATTCACTTCAATTTATCAAAGTTATAAAACCCACTTCAGAGTCATCTCTACCAGGAAAACGGAGCGTCATTAAAAACAAATTATGCAATTGTTGAAACAACCACTCAACCAAAGGCGGACCGAGACGGGAGGGGGAATTGGCAATTTTCAAAGGTGGTCTACATTGATTATACAACTTGATTATACAACTAAAATTATACAACTACAAAAGTATATATTTACTCTTGCATGAAGATGACTATTTTCAAAATTTCTAAGAATCTCATTGAGCTCTGTACAAAATTTGGGCTTGTTGATTCAGAAGAGCATTCCAATTCGAAAAACTGGCTAATATCACCCCTTCTGTTGAATTAATCTGGTTCGCCCATACATACATCATACCTCAGCAGGCGACAAAACCGACAAAGAAAAGCAACTCTTACCTACAACACCGCTAGCAGACGTTTGCTTGAGAGGCAACTTGACAAAACAATCATGGAGAGAAAGATTGTGGCGTATTGAATTTTGCCAACCCCACTGATCGGGACGGTGACGGTAGTACGGATGAAGTAGTCGTATAACCTGAACAAAACAATTTGATGATAGCAGCAAGAAAAACAATGAAAATGCTTGAGTACTTTGAGCTGACTCAGATGCTACTTGTGCTAATGTTTGAATGTTTTGTTCACAGAATTTGGTTAAAAAATGACAGCGAAAAATAAAAGTACATGGCATAAACAGATGGGATAATGGTGTTCAAATAGCTTGGGAATGTTCAAATTCGACCTACACTTCGACTCCAAAGTGAATTTGGATACAGATAAGATGTAGCTACGAATATGAGAACTTACTCCATCAACAATTCAAAGGACAAAAAGGATTGAATTTTACCTAAGCAGAATTTCTCGAAAAAAGGTTGGGCAACTGCGTGTACTTGTTTGATTACTGCAAGTGACTGACAAGAACCACACTGACCACAGAATGCATTTTGACTTCGAAGGGTTTTCTACCTCACATGGATTGGTAATCAAGAAAGACAAGTCTCAGACTTCTGCGTGAACTCGCTACAACGGTCACACTGAGTTTCTACCAGACAAACAACTGTTGCAATCTTAGAGAACAGTATGTGGAGATAAGAACAGTAGTGATAGTCGCAATCTCTACCAGATACGGTTTTTCAAAAATCCGCCTACCTGATATATTTCGTTTAGTTTAAGTCGCTTCTCTGGACTACTTTCAATAGCCTCGATGATCAGGTCCTTGTACGATAACGACGGCCGCTCAATGTTTTCCAATCTTGGGGCCTCTGCAGTCGACAGCACCAATTCTTCGCTATTCGGCAAATTCTGCGTCAGTTGTATTGCAGAATTGGAATTGAGGAAGTCCATCTATCTAGAAGAGAAAGCGAGTTTTACGATAAACACTACATTTCTATCGCGATAACAGCGGAAAAAAGAGTACGCAGTAACGCGAATAAAGTGCAAACAATATACAAAACAAGCAAGAAGTTTCCACGTGAAAGGGGGACAAAAGCTTACACGGACTAGGGATGTGTACTATATAGACAGTCATGTGGTACACAAAAAAACAGGTATGATACAAAAAAGGGGCATAGTGGGAGTTGAAACGACTTATCCACGCATTTAGATGTTCAAAAGCAATGATAGAGCTGTAGCCTAAAACGAGAGAGCTGTCAAAAACGAAAAATGGTGTTCCTTATAAACAGCTGCATACCACAATGTAAGTTTGATCAGTTGTTAGGTATTACATACGCAGACACTTTCTGAAAAAAAATATTCCACAATGCAAGTCAGGTGGATCTGCACCTATTCCGACTAAGGAAAATTCAAAATGTCACGATACTTCAATGAAAACCGTAGCGATTTTCTGCGGAAGTTTTGTTTTGAAATAACAAAGCATCAAATTTGGTAACTGTGATATGGAATAAAAGCATTGTAAGGATTCACAAGTTTTTCACGCGTCAACCGTCTCGTAAACACTTGACATTAGGATATGAGTTACTGCGCCAAAGATAAGGTCCCATCCAAAAGTGCAGGAAAGAACTGACCCAAGCTGAAAGAAGCTCGGTAGTACAAACTTATCCACACTTAAGAGAGTTTTACCCATTTCCTTTTTTCTACAGTGAAGACAGTTCGTCCTCAACATTTCAAAAGTAGCCAGAAGCATTTTTGATTTGTGAAGAAGATTCATGCAGGAGACACTACAACTTCAAGGCAATGGACGATGTACGATTCTTTGTCCTAATGACGAAAACTTCTTTAGTGAGGATAAGACGCATGACAAGGAGAGAAATACAGCTGCATGGTCCAGCGCCAATGTAGATTTGACTGCCATTTTCTATGTGATGCTTCGGCACTCTTTCTATTCATCCCAACCCTCACCCCCTCCCACCCGCACCCCCCAAACAGTCAACGGTTCTTGCTCGGGCATCACTGTGATTGAGAGACACTGTGGAACCCGCTTTGATTTTCCCACCTCAAAAGCTTCAATTTTCTGCCTGATGTATAAGTGTAAACACTGACTATCACAAACTCAACCATGAAAAGCAAACATAAAGTCCGAAAACTCTGAAATTCTTCAGAAAACAATTTACGGTGCATAGCATTAAGGTCTGAGATAGCATTTACATACCAATATACCACTGACGATAAAGAGTCAACGTAGCCTATCCACTTACGGATAGCCTAATTTATAGAGCAGATCACAGTACGCAGTCAGCAAAATAACGGAGATGACTTGTTTTCGGTAGTGAATGAGTAAGAACAAGATGCATGATAACAGTGAACCATCACTCATAATGATGTCATTAGGCCTTGAGTTTGGAGAAAATGTCTAAGCAAAGGCATGATGAGTAAAAACTATGAATGCCGAAAAGGTATCCTGAAATATAAATAGATAAGAACGGGCAAATAAGATGTACAACCATGAATCACTCTTTGTTAGTGTAATCTCTTATACATTTAAATGAAGCCTAGTGAACGGCACCTAAAAGGCAAGGTTTGGAAAAATGATTGGTTACTTTGACAGTGATACACGAACACTCACCACTACTGCAGATTTGATTGGAACTCTTACATTCTGCAATTTTACTCGCTTTCAAAAAAATGCGTAGTGATGATGGCAAGTTGACCGACAATATAAAGCGGCTACTGAGCTCGGAAGAAGGTACCCGAGCTCCTGTTTCGTGCATTAGCCTTGTCGATCAGCCTTGCGCAGAAGATTTACGGGAAGCTGCACACCAATCGCTCCAAAGAAGAGAACATTTATGATGCACAGCATGACTAGTTCAATCTACACTACTGCTCGCTGAGAGTGACTTCACAAAAAGTACAGTTACGCGAATAGTGTTCATAAACCGAATGTACACCCACATGACTCATGGCAATTTTCGACTGATTAGGTGACGAAGAGACACAGCCTTCGCCTTTGATTCCACAAGTCCCCGTGTGACCATGCACGATAATGAAAGCCTCCTTGTGACTACCCTCGTTTGTTTCGATATGCCTTGTTGCCGTAGTACGGCGCCGAGCGAGGGTCGCGAGTGCCGCGCTGATGTGTGGCGCACGTACGCCGCTCACTCGGCGCTCGTGCCTCAGAGCATCGGCCGGCGGCAGAAGACGTCGTTGCGTCACGTGCGGCGCCTATTCTCGATGCAGCCAACCCTCATCAGACCCGAAATGAATGCAGCTGAAAAAGGTGCGTGCGCGCCGCAAAAAGAAACGCAGGCACGGAACAGTTTGACATTTTACAACCACGCTCCATTAGACAGACAGACACGGAGGGCAAAAAGCGCTAGCGAATGTCTATGTGTGTGGTGTGTTATGTGTCGTGTGTTTGTGCCTCATCACATGATTACATTCTAAGCGATCGATGTCCATAGCCAAAAAATGACGAACTTCGGAATCGAAACGCGGAGGCAATATGCCTAAAGATGCTGAGCTTTTTATCGCGCTTTTGAGACTAGCGAAGGTTGAGAGAAAGGGAGGAGGGGTATTCATGACGCGTTGCTACGTAGAGCGGTTTGGCGGCTACATTCCAGATGAGAACATAACAACTGCTAGAACTTACGTGGCCTTCACCTTCTCCGTCATGATTCAACTACGAAAAAACAGTTCATTGCGCTTATATAGAAGTATTTCAACAACAAATTTGACTAACTCTGTGATGATTAACGCGCATTTTGCAAGCACTCAAGCGCCTCAATTTCAAGTCCTAGGATGTTAGGATAACAGAGAAAAAGTCGTTTAGCACTGATATCCAAACAACAATCAGGTGTTTGCGCATAAACAATGCTTCCGTATCCTCAAAAACTCGAGGGTTTTCCGCTGACACACGTTTGCTCATCGCAAGGCAGTCAGGCGATGTAAAAACATATACACAGTTCAGAAATCACACAACAATCTTTCTTGTTATGGCTTTCCAGGTTCACCCCCACTCACTATTCTTGTCAGTCATTACAGCGTATAAGCCCAGGAAAAGTTATAAAGCTTGGTAGCTTACTCTGCACGCAATGAAAATGACAGGAGATATAAGGGAATTATGCGGAAGTGGAACCTGCAGGAAGTCATCCAAAAACTGCTCAAAGCACATGAACAACAATGCTACACAAGATCCACGGGAAAATGTCAATTCAGCTTCTTGTCGAGGACAAATTGCCTGTACTGTTTTGGGTATCAGTTCTACTTCCTGTAATCGTTTCTCTGTCAGCATTGCGAAAGTTTTAGAATCCTTTTATGCACACATTACTTTTTGGAAGAAACCCACAAGGGAACATACACCACAAATGGATGTATTCTTGCTAAATCAAGACCGGTACAAACGCTTGATGCTTCTTGAGTTCAGTTTTTTTGAATCCTATCACAAAAATCGGTGTGTCAAAAAGTTAAGCTAAAGCATAGTATACCGCAACCACTTTTCCGAAGTTCGTTTGCAAGATTTAGTGAAAGTTTGGAGATTATATCGGCTGTTCGTGCCCTACTTTACAAGCTTTGCGACAAAGAAGTAGCTGACATACGACTTTTGCTTTTACTATACTCTGTAAAAGTTTTTTCAACCATAGCAATGCTAGACATTCTTTTCGAAATCAGCGTCAGCGATCAAGACAAACACACAAAAACTTAAATAATTTCGATAGCGAGACAATGACTGCGGCAAGTAAATATTATATGTACGCCAGGTTTGTACTGAAAGTAACATGACCAAAACGTAGAATAAGCTGGATCAAATTTCCAATACTAAAATGTGAAGTACGTTACACAAATCAAATTCGCAGTTTCCTCGTTTTTGTGATTGAGATGACTTGTCAACTATAGTGAAAGTACAATGTGGGAAACGATACTATACCAGGGGCGGTTTCTATCAATCCCCACTCGTGTTCGGGCCATTATCAACGAGTGCCCGGACAGTCGAAAGTTCCATGCCATGGTCTATAGAAGTTTGAGGCGAGTGGCCCAAACGGGCAGGAGGGCCCGACTTCGAGATCGGGCACGATCGGATATCTGCCGTGCTCGACATGACCAAACTTGCCAAATCGGACCATATCTTCAAACAGACAAGAGCCCGATCACCTGCTTGGCTTTGTGTATCGCGGACGCCAGTGCTCGTGCCTCCACAGCTGTGAACTGTATAGGAACCCCTTTCCATATAGAAGACTGATAAATACCGCCCAGATCTCTTTTCCATGTAAAGGCTGCAAGAAATTGCTCAAGTGGCACAGATCATTTGAAGAACAATATGGCATGGTATATGGGTTATATAATAATTGCAACATCCGAGCCATACTAAGTCTGGACAACATCGGAAAGGTAGTAATAATCACACGGAAATAATTACGATAAACTGAAAAAATGCTCTTTCGAACTCTTAGAACTCGTAAATCTGGATGGTAAAGGTAATTTGCATACTTGTTTCATACAATAAAGAGTAATTTGGATGCATAATGTTGCATTAAGCGATCAATGTAGAGGAACTTGTGGCAACAGCAGCCAACGGGAAATATTTTGTGAAACATTCTGTGGAGATTACTTGTGAGGGTCATGAAAAGTGATGAAAAGACGATGGAAAATGAAAAAGAACGATACCCGAAAAGTCGGACGAAAGAGAAAGAAATTGGATATGGTAATATGTCAGACGTAGCAATGATGATGCCTTGCGTCCAGGGGCAGGACAAAAATAGCGGAATGTTCTCGGGTGTTTTGCTGAAACAAAACGAAACAACGATAAGGGCCGAGATCGGAGAGCATGTGACTTCAGCTAGCGTCGAGATGGCGCTGCAAAACAAACAAACGCGTGGAAACGCATTGTACTCATTTGCTGCCGCAGCAGACTTCGATCGCAAAGACCAAATGCAACGCAAAGCAAAGACCACACGAGAGCGATAGCATGGCTCACGAGA